GAATGGTATCCCCAAGATTACTAGAATATCCATGTCTTCTTCTATGTCTAGAATAAGGAAATCTGCTGGAAAGATGAATTTCCCCACTTTAATCAGCACATATTCTATAATTCCTCTTGGGTGGGTACGTGATCGATCAACCAACTGCGGAGTCGACATTGTTGCTTTCGCCTCTCCCAAACCTTGTTTCCTGAAAATAGAAAGTGGTATCAAATTAATACTCGCACCAGTATCACATAAAGCATTAAAAGTACCGGCTTCTCCAATTGAAATAGGTAATGTGAAACTCCCTGGATCCTTGAGCTTTGGAGGCAGTTTCTTTTGTAATCTGGCACTACTCTCCTCTGTCAGTGATATAGGGATAATTTGTCTTCATTAATACATTGACACTCTTTGAGGGCTGATGGTTGTTTGGATGGACTATATAATGTAAAAACTTCTTGCTCAACATCTACCCTCAAGATTAGCTCACATTTCTTCATATCAATCAAAGTTCGACCTGTTGCTAAAAATGGTCTCCCCAAGATTATTGGAATATCAGTCTTCTTTTATATCTAGAGGAAATCCGCTGGGAAGATGAATTTCTCCACTTTAATTAACACATCTTTTATGATCCCTCTTGGGTGGGTAAGAGACCTATCAGCCAACTGTAGAGTCATCGTTGTTGCTTTAGCCTCTCCCAAATCGAGTATCCTGAAAATAGAAAGTGATATCAAATTAATACTCGTACCAGTATCACATAAAGCATTAAAAGTATCAGTTTCTCCAATTGAAATAGGTAAGGTGAAACCCCCTAAATCCTTGAGCTTGTGAGATAGTTTCTTTTGTAAACTTGCACAGTTCTCCTCTATCAGTGCCACAGTTTCAAATTTTGGAAGCTTTTTCTTCTTTGATGTCATGTCCTTCAAAAATTTTGCATAGCTTGGAACTTGTCGTATTGCGTCTACGAACGGAATATTAATATGGAGTTTCCTTAGCACATCCAAAAACTTTTCAAACAGTTGGTCTAGTTGGTGTCTCTTCAACCTTTTTGGAAATGGAATAGGAGGTTCATAAGGATTGATAGGAACTGTTGCCTTAACTCGTAGCATATCTGAACTCTTTTTAGCAGATGCCTCTATTGTCTGTTCAGTTTGTTCCACTCGTTCCTCCTTTGAAGAAGGTACTGTTTCCTTAGTCGCAACCAGCCTCTTGATATGTATTTTCGATAATTGCACCCCACTCCTGGTGGTGATTACTTTCACAGATGGATCCTCAATTATTTTATTTCTCAAAATACTTATGGCCATTACCCGCTCTTTGGGATTAGTTGTAGTATTGCTTGGCAGGGTACCTCGTACTCTGCTTGTCCATCTGCCCAACTTGAGTCTTCAGGTTTTTAATAGCAACACTCTGATCTCGGAGAATTGTTTCGGTCTTCCTCATGAACTGATTATTAACTTCCATGTATTGATTCGTTTTTTCATAAATTTTATGAACATCTCTTCTAGTTGAAATTTCTTCTCCTGCTACTGAAACTGATCATGTGGCCTATTCTAATTAGCCTAATAGAAATTTGGGTGTTTCCTCCAACCTAGGTTGTAAGTATCTGAATGTGGATTATTCTATTGATGTTGTCCCCATTGTGCAAAATCCACTTGTTCCATACCTTGTGCTAGAATATGACAATTTGCTGTGTTATGATTTGCTCCACACTCCTCACAACTTGGCCTTTTAGCTTGTGTAACATTAGATGTTTGTGATATGCTCTCTACCTTATGAAATAATGAGTCTATCTTCACAGATAAGGCTGAGTAAGCATCTACCTCGTATACACCTGGCGCTTTCCTTTGAACAACCCGTTCGAAGCTCACATTGCTAAAGTAGTGGCAGAAAATTATTTAGTTAGTGCTTGTGTATTGAAGATGTTGACTGTTCAGAAAAATATCATTCGAATTAAACTCACCGCAAGTGTACGGATCGTTGACAAGTAATAAAGTGGACTTTTTGAGTCCGAGTATCATTCCCACATAGATTTATTAGTTCTAATTCTACTTACCGTAAACTCTAAGTATTTTTGTAACGAAATTATAACTAAATTAATCTAATTAGGCAAGGATGAATGGTTTAACTAAACTATGCGAATAGCTTTGAATGTAATTTGGAGTTTGATGAATGTACTAGGATCACGAATTCCTAAGTAGCAATCTTTTCAAACCTAGTTTTAAACTTTGACAACACAATTGAAATATTGACGAATCAATGCTCCTAAATTATTCAACAATCTCTCTCGAGTAAAGTCAAACCTATTCTCATATATGACCCGACTATATCTTTATGACGGTTGCATACAAACAAGAATGCATGAGTTTTTTATGAACACTTAAAGATTCACATAAGGCATAATAATATATTTCTATCCTTATCGGACCCTATGATGATTTATACTATGTCTAACCTATTTTCCTTCTTTCGAATGCATAAAATAGATCACCACACTCACATAATTACGTGCACAATAATTATGGAGAAAATAAAATCATATAAAACATTCAAATATCCAAAATGTGTTTTTATTGTAAAGAATGTACAACTAAGAAATAAAAATCATGTTACATAGTTCATCGTTCCTTGGTACAGAATTAACCTAGTATAGTATGATGGAAAGAAGAAAATCAGAAAAACAACGAAGGAACGACATCACCAATTCAATTCTTGAGATTAATGATTTGCGTCGTGTTGTTGTTCTTCGTGATCTTGCTCTTCTTCTCCTCTTAAAACCTTATGCATATGGTTTTTAGGTCAAAAGAAGGTCCCCCACGTGTTCGGGTCGAGTTTGGTATATATTGGATGCCTAAAATCTTGTTAATCTCCAATGTTCGGTAGTGGAATTGGTCTTTTGACTTGAGGTCATCGTAGTGTCTTATATGTGGATAGTCATATTTTGGTTATGTTGGATATTTCTTTGCCAAAGGTCGCTAATACGGCATTGTTTGGGGTATGTCAAGAATCAGATAAAGTTGTGAATGATTGATTCGTCTCTCTTAGATAGTAAGAGATTATGATTTACATTTCATACAGCTAGTTAATAATGAAATCCTTGGCTAAGGTGAGTTTTCGAGTTACATTGACTTAATAATGGGATGAAAGATATGATCGATAATTGAGATTGACACATATTCATATCTTGTAATTAATTGGATCATATGACGAAAGGAATATAATTTCACGGTAAACGAACTAGTTTGGTTTTGTCATACCACGTGAAATTTCCTGTCACATGTATAAACTTGACACATTGCTAGATGTCATTTAGGACGGCGAATGTGAACCAGTGATAAATTAAAAGGGGTATTTTAATTTATCGATTTTGATTAGATCAAAATAATAATTTATGTCGTTAGGTATCGTGATCGAGAACCTGATGAGTTACACACAAAAGGAGAAGAAGAATGAGATTCGCCAATTATTTAATTAACAAGTGTTGGTAAATTAATTAATTGGATTACTTGTTAATAGACCCAAATTAATTAATTGATTAGTTAATTCGGGGACCAAATTTAATTAATTAGATTAATTAAATATTGGATAGGATTAAGTTTAAAAGACTGGCTGAGCCAACTTGAACTTCTATTAATAGACTGTTAGGGTTAGAAAATAACACACAACATTATTGTTATTTTTGCTAGCACAAGAAAAGAAAAATAAAATCCAAGTTCTCGTTCTTGTTCCCCGTGTGGATTTTATTGGAGGCTGGACAATTTGACAGTTTTGAATTGCAGTTCGTGATTGTTCGTGTTCAAAAATCAGCAAAAAAGTTTGCGGAATTCATCAAATGTATAATTTCTATCACAATTTTTATCTAAACACAAAGCAGATCCTTGTTGAAAATTGAAAGATAATTTTTTTTCCGACGTAAATGTTAAATAAATTCCCAACAAGTTTATCCATTATAGATAAGATATATTATATTTGTTGGGCGGATGCTAACTTCATTATTTGGCTTCCGAATTTCCACTTGTCCTCTTAATTACTTATACTTTCTTGTCAGAGCACGTGCACAATTGGAAGATGATGTACCTCCTTGTGAAGCTCAAATGGAGCACTGGAAAACCAACTTGGCCTTCACGGATTCAAAAGAAAGATAATATCCGCAACATTACTCTAATTATAAGGTAGAATCTCGTTGAGAGCTTCTTGTCATTTGTCAGAGTTCTAATTTCTTCCATTTCGGTTTAATGTGTTCACTGGGAAGAGAAGTTTGTGAAAAATTCTTTGAGTAAAAGATTTGATAATATATTAGTTGGCACTTTAGTGCACCGATTATGTAAATTAATGTATTTTTAACCGTATCTAACTAAATACACCCTTGGAAGCTACCAAGATTTGCCTCCTGTAGTGTCCTCTTCTTGCTAACAATCTGCCATTTTTTGCTTCTCAGTTCTTGTCGAGAGAAAAATTGATTTACAGGATAAAGCTTTGGCTGCATTGGCAATTGAGGACAAGAAAAGGCAGTTTGCTGCTGCTGAGAAGTACCTTGAAGATGTTTTGCAGTCTGATCTTGATTCGAACAATTGATTTAGTGACACCTTCCTGTCTTCTGCTCTTCATTTTTTATAACTGGGCACGAGTTCTCCCTTGAGATTATCTCGTTGATTAATGCACCTTCGTGGGAACAGCTTGTTGCAAATGATGTTTGCACAAATGTCTGTTTTTTGTTTAAATATTTGAGCCTTGAATAGTTTCTTGAGTGAAGGCTGATTGAATTCTTGTGTCGCAACATGAATTGACATGATAAACAGTACGAACAACAATTCCAAACATTGACGATTTTATCATTTCTGTAAGATCGATCTTTAAACTGAACAAATAAAAAATAATCCACTCATTGGAAAACATAGATCAGTTTTTCCCCTTTCTGTACTAAAATTTATTAACGTGCTGCAGCAGGGCAACCCTTCTACCTCAAACCAGAGGCACGATAAATATCGTGTTCATCAATAAAAACGAGATTGAGATGATCAATTTTTTCGAGCCAAAGCTGCTGCTATACCACCTACTAGAAGTCCGACTGCAGTTGCTGTAATGCCGATGCCAATAACACCATCTGTACCATATAAAGCACTGTTGGTTAGTTCTAACAGGGTCGAAAAATACAAAAGCTTTGGATAACAATTCAGGTTGTCATTACCTTTAGTTATTCGATCTTCAACCGTCTTCTTCAGGGTCACAGCTTGTCTCCAATCAGGTGCAATCTATGGATACAAGAAACTAAAAATTATTTGAGAAAAAAAAGAAGTGGGAGAAAAATCATATTAAATGGTATATCTCAAAAGAAAATGACAAAACTGTCTCCAATTAGCCCAATCTACAAAATGAAGCAGACGACAATTATTTAAGCACAGAATGGCAGCAAGGAACATATACAATGTACAATCTCCAAATACTAGTAATTTACGGGGATAAAAGTAATGAAAAAAGAATATAAAGAGAGCAACGGCAGCATAAAAACTAAAAAGTGGAAACAAACCTCCAAACATTGGTCTAGGAGCTCCCGGCACCTTGAATATTCACTGCTTCTGTAATATCCAACAGCAAGCAGGTAGAGCTTCTCTCTCTTTTGCAATGGACTATTATCGTTGGCTAGTGAAGCTGTCAACAAATGGAATGTTTTCTAGTTAATGCTTTGATATACTCTTAGGGCTAATTTGACATTACTTTTCAGGAGTCAAATGGAGCTTGCTTTTGGACCCCTTTGGCTAATGTTATGAAAGTGTTTCTTCTAGTTAGAAAACTTTTAAAGGATTTGGGTCCAATGTGACTTTCTCTAAAAGCACTTCCGGAAGATTAGTTTCCAAACATAATTTAAGGTAGCTTCCTCGGGAAGCTCCTCTATGGAAAGCAAAAACAAATATTAACAATTTACAAAATCAATCCTACAAGATAAGACGACAAAAGAAAATTACATCAAGAAAAATTTCAAGAATCAAAAAAGAAAAACACGCTGATCTTATATAGATTCATGAGGTGCCTCTTAATAAATAGATTAACCAATGAAGGTTGCAGCAAGAAGATAGATGATGTGATTTTTGAAGCTATGAATATCTTTCAATGACTGGCTTAATCATTAGTTATTGAATTTGAAAAAAAAATCCTAATATCAATTTCTATAAACATTGAAAAGTTGAAAGATGTTTTAAAGCATGAATTTGATCGATCTAGTTTTCACCTTCAAGCATGGCCATTCCCCGTTGCACGTCTTCTGGTTGTTTAGAATGAACAAGAGCCCACGATAAGCGCATAATGCTTTCACTCTTCCTTTCATCAGAATCATCTTTCAAAGCTTCTGCAACTTCTCTCTCACAGCCCTGCCAACGATATAGGTTAAAAAGAGAGAATCTAACAAAGGTTCAATTGGCAGATCAAGAATAACCTGAATAATATGCCAAACCATTAATATGTTTCGAAAATTATCAAATATTCAACACTCCTGAATCAATGTTTGGAGGATGCAATAGCTTTGGACTACTCTGAGTAGGAGAAACCTTCACCCAGGCATTCTGGACCTTTAGCAGTGATCCCAGATTTGTTCTACAGATTATGTCGTTAAGATGTGGGTGTTAACCCATTGATTTAGGCCCTTACATTGGTATATTAGATTTAATCTAATATCTAGAGACCATCATATCATCTAAAATAATCTTTAGAATACATTCCAACTAAGTAGGTCTAGCAACTGAGAGTATATTTTAAGATATCTAGGAGTTTCATTCAACAAAAATAGTGAACATTGACCCTCGAATCTCGCAGGTACAGAAGTATTATTTATAAATATAATTAACTAATTAAGTTATCAGCTGTGAAGACAGACATAACAGTGCTTAACATATACCATCGACAGTCACCTTAGCTCATAAACCTTTATGAATACTATCTGATAAACTACTACCGGCCTACAGCTCTGGACGTCATGTCCAAAGAACACTCTTGTTGATGCAAAGTGCAAGAACAAAGAACTTCCAAGTATACATTCAAGAATTAAAAAAACACCTTATCAGCATTTAAGAAGTCTAGGCTGGCATTCCAAATGAAATAATACCTCAAAACCAACGCCGCCATTTCAAATAAAAGTGAAAAAATGGGATACTCCCACAAAAAAATTTAACCAATGGCCACATAAAATGTGACTTTTAATTCGTTGAAAGCCTCGATTGCAGAAAATATGATTTGTTCCTTTCACACTTGTATGAATGTGGAGGACCATGGCAATCATTACAACTCCACTTTCATTCTTCCCTGAAAATATCAATTTTTGCCCCAATAAATAGGACTTAGTTTGTTGTTGTCGACTCAAATCATCCACTCCACCAGCCCTTGGGAGTTAGATACACCCAATCCTCAAAAATCATCCAAGAACTTAATGAGATTCATACAAGACCTCAAAATACCTCCCAAAAAGCACTATCCACACCTAAAAATACCATCTCAATCTCAATCACACTAAATCAAAAGGATCACCTCAAATCTTCAGCCTCAAATTTGAACTTTTCCACCATCAAAGATTCACCTGCCATTACTAAACTTAAGGCCTGTTTGGTGCGGCTCAAAATTCAATTAAAATTGAAAATATAGCCGTTATTGGCTCCACTCATCTAATAAAAGTCAACAATAACGACTAGTTTTTCAATTTTAATCCGATTTTAATCTCTACCAAACACCTCTTAGAATGCAGTGCTTGAAGACACCTCAAATTCTTCAGAACTCAAACCTAAAAACCATTTAAAAAATTAACAGAACAATCATATCTGAAGCAACCAATTAACAATCCCATTCAACCAAATCTACCTTTGATACTTTAAACCCATCAAAACTGCAAATATTAAACTCCAAAAGCCTTTAAATAAATATCAATTTACTCAAGAAATTTCAATTTTTAGACCGGGTACAGAAAACCCATATCAAGGCAAAACGAAAGAAAAAATATCCCCCAATCGAGCTTGTCAAAACCAAAAAAAGAAATTTCTATTTCTTAGACATTATCGTATCAAATATGGTACAACGAAAAAACAGTGATCCTTACGAGAATGACGTCAGGAGTTGACCAAGGGATGTGGTCGCCACCGCTGAAGAAGTTGGCGACGGACTCGAAGAATTGAGAAACTTTCGCCTCCATAGAGAATCAAATTAACGAAAATGAATTCAAGAAATGGAAACTGAACCTTTATGACCGACTTCTAGTTTTGTACTTTGACCTGGAAGATATTATTATAATATTATTCTAAATTTCTAATATTGAAAGTAAAAGAAAATTGCGAACAACGTAATGAAACCAAAATCAATATTATTTTTTGTACTAAAAAGTTCATTAATTAAATAATAAATTTTCAAAATAATAAGGATCCGTTTGATTGAAAAAGTGAAATTTGAGTGGAAAGAAATTGAATTCCAGAGAATTAAATTGCCTAGAATTATTTTCCTGAAAATTGTCAATTAATTGTGTTTGATTAGTATAATTTTCCATGTGGAAAATATTGAAATTTTGGATCTTTTGATGTTTGTTTGATTTTGTTTTACATGAAAATTGTCAATTAAAGGGAGTTTTTTTTAACAATTGAGAATATAATTTGTTTCTATTGCCGGAAAAAAAAAAATTGGAAAAACAAAAACCACCAAATCGGTGGGAAAACAAATTCAAGGAAAAACTGAAAAATGAGGCAAAGTTGGAAAATCAATTTTCTAGAAAATTTTGGCTATCAAACAGCCAAAAATGTGAAAAATAGAAAATATTTTCCAATTTCCATGAAAAATTTTACACATCAAACAAGGCCTAATAGACCTAAAAAAATCTATTCTTGCGACGCAAAAACAGAACACGAGAATCCGAAAAAAAAAACTTCCGTTGATGGGGATTGAGCTTGTTGGAGAGAGTTGCTGGAAGGAATGGAGGGGAGATTATGTTGCCACTTAATTTGCTTCATAATTCTGTGATCCCATTTGTATAATTGAGCTGCTTTATGCTTCAATATTCCCTACGGTTCCTGATTTGCTAATTGCCTTTATTCTATTTGTATTGAGTTTGTTTTAATTGATTATTCGATTGCATATATTGAGAACGAAGCATTTGATAATATTGAAAATGATGTCAATTTGAAAAATTATTAAATATAGAACACTTTAATTTTTTTACAATTTTTTTATAAGTTTGATTGTAACCCCCTAACTCAAAATGTCCGCTAGTAGTGTTGCCAAATGAGTCTGTATAAATGTCTTTGTTTTCACGAGGAAATATTATAATAATCTCCCGGGGTTATTTATGCACACATCATTTTTATATCATTTCATTATAATACACTAATGTACAAATACTAACGTACGTGCACGTATACGTACATATATCCAATGGCTACTGTTGGGAATTTTATGTGTTGCCGCATTTTCACAATGTTATGTGGTTGTTGTTCACCAAAACAGATGGAAATAACTTAGGGGCCGTTCTCTTCATGTTTTTAGTTTTGAGTTTTGAATTCGTTTTGTATTTTGTGTTTAGTGTGTCTGTTTTGAAATCGTTAAAATACGTTCTTTTTGTCATTCTAAAAANTTTTAAATTTTGAATTCGTTTTGTATTTTGTATTCTGAATGTCTGTTTTGAAATTTCTGAAAATGCGTTGAGAATTTTTTTATAATATTTAATTAAAAAAAACTGATTATTCAATAAATTTTAATAGTTTAATGTTAATATAGTATTAAATAACATATCAATTTTGAAGTTAGTAATTCTTAAAATATTTTTTTCCAGATAATGAAAACCATGATCCATATTCTTTTTTTAATTTTACTATATGAGATGGCAAATATGCCATCGTTAATCAAAGATACCTTTCTACTTGCAAAAGGCAGATTTTCAGCACTATTTTCTACCAAACTATGAATAAGAAAAATGTAAAACAAGACTATAAATCATCTCAAGGTATTTGAAATATTTGATCAGCCGAATGACAGCAAGGTGTCGCTATTTCTAGTTTAAGCCTTCACAGGAAAAATGATAAACAAGTTTCGGGATTAGGTAGATCCTAGTAGTAGCGTTCTTTGTACAAGTTATTATATACACTACTCAGAAATAGAACTTACTGTGTGCACACAAGGAATAAGCACTTGTAAGGCTGTAAGTTGGCCTGATTCCCAGAGACAAAATAAAGCTCTACTTGATTCTTTGACGAAATATGCCCAATGGATTCTGATCTATCAGATCAACCGTTGTATGGTAAATTTATTGTTCCTTTTTCTTCTTGCAGACTTGTTAGAGTGATGGTTTATACATGGAACATGGACCAAAAACATGAAAAAGATGACAAATAGGCTGTGCTTCTAAAATGTTCGTCATTGAATGCAAAGCTCGAATTGGATGCTTTCATTTAGCAAAACTGAATTCAAGCAACATGATGAGTGAAGTTCAATAACCATTATAGCTATGCAATGTAAACTATAGGATAGGTAAAAACTTGAGGAAAAGTGTATTCGAGCAATAAGCATGAAAATGTGCAACTTCTGATATCATAATCTATGATATAAATCTATATATTTAGAGATCAAGATACAGAACCTCAACTTGAGAGACCAACCAAATGCCGAACATCATGTAAACCTAAAGCTCTCGGATCACAATCTGAGATTGAAGAGCACTTCATAACAACCAAAAAACAGACTACACAAAAAGTAAAACTCGAGATTTCTACATTATTAAATCCATAATCTATCAAATACATGAGCTTTTGAAATGATTGATAGGCACTTTTATCTATCTTTGTAATTTTGCAACTTATACATCACCAAGCGCCACCATAAGATAAGCAAAACTGTGAGTATCCATCTTTGTAATGTTGCACCGTATTCATCACCAAGCACCACCATAAGATAAGCAACACTGTGAGCATCAGGTCCAACAAGTCCAGTGGGAACAACCAGACAGTACTAAATGTCTTTGGTTTAATGCTCTCCTCTTTCCCTGTTCATATTTACTTCCTCCTCAGCCTCCAATAATGCACTAGTAGTACTTGTGAAATATAACACTTCTTCCTCCTTGTATCTTCTACTGGACAAACCAGATCATGCAACTGTAATCCATTTATATCAGTAAAATCTAATAAATTTTAAATTTAGAAACAGAGTTAGCAGTGATTCAAATGTTCTAACAAAGATCAAGAGTGAGTTTAATATTGTGCTAATCACTCTTTACATGTGAAGTAATTGTTACAGCTTTCATTCCACAACACTGCCACTTGATTAGGCAGATTTCTCGATCCTAGTTTCCCAAAAAGGTTTAGAAGGAAACCAATTAAAATTCATCTTGGATATTGCTGGTGAAATTTCGCAAGTGTACGGATCGTGACAAGTAATAAAGTGGATTTATCAAGTCCGAATATCGTCCCACAGAGACTACTATTTAGTATAAAGTTTTAAACTAATCTAGCTTCAATTTAAATTAAAATAGTAACTAATTATCAAATCAAGTCATGTTTTTTAAGTGAAATTCTAATAAATAAAATAACAAACTCAAATTAAAACTGGAGAAAAGATTATGTAATGAGGTAGTTAGGATTTTCGATTTCACTTATGTTATTTATCATACATTTAATTTCAATTTCGTCACCCATTTTTTCATACATGTCAACAATCGAATTGACCTGATGTAGTTAGTGATTTCTCTTGAGCAACACTAATCCTATTCATACGCCTGAAGTTATTATATCTCTATATAAATTCACATACATATAAACGCATTTATCTGTAGGAATTCAACATAGATCGCATAGTTTATAATTATCTTTCGATCTCTTATAATATCTATGTTAATTATTGCACGAATTAGAATTATACATCACCTCTTGGTCTCAGTATTATCCCTAAATCAATTAATTGTTGTGCAGACAATTAAAATATTAAACACACAATAATTAATTAAAAAGTATTAAAATGACATGAAAATCTTGAAATTAAACATAAAAAAAACCTAAGCTACATCATCAATCCTAACATAAAAATATTTAGCCACTCATAATATTGAATTTAGGCCTTGTATGAGCCACCTTATTATTGAATAAGAATGAAAAATATAGTCGTTATTGGGGCCCACACAAGAGATATAAAATTTGAATTTAAATGTTGATGTGATAGATAACGGTCATATTTTTCATTTTAATGAAATAAAAATGTGACCCAAACGGGGGCTTAAACATGAAAAAGTGGAAAGAAATCACCAAAAATTGACGAAACGTCAAACTTCTCGTGTGTACCGTCTTCCTTATAATTAAATTCAACCTCAATTTCATCTACTTTGCTGCCACATTGCTGATTTTGTGTGTGTGTGTGTGTGT